CGCTCCGAGCCGCGGCCCTGCCGGGCGGGCTCCTGTCCCCAGCCCCGCCCGGTCCCCGCTTGGCTGCGGGGGAGAATCCTGCCACGCCACGGCTCTTCCCGCACAATTTATTCTGAGCTGTTTACATTTAGGCATTTCAGTGCTGTGGTTTCTGCTTTAGTCCTGAGGCCCTCGGAGCAGTTTGTGCACTGCCTTCAGTCGGTAGTTGTCTATATAAACTCTTCTTTGAGACCCATCCCTGCCTGGTCTGCAGGGGCTCTGCGGTGCCCAGAGGCAGCTGAACAGGTAACTCCAGCAGATCACCTCAGAGCTGCAGAGTAACTTGGGTTATGCTGCAGGTTTCATTGCTATTTGGGTATTGTAAAGGGAATGCTGTTGGAACATAGAAAAACCGGTGACTGAATGTTATGAATGTTATGAATGAATAACTCCTGAATGTTAAATCTTTCGGTTTTGCTTTATTTTAGGAGGAAACATTAACCTTAGGAAATGGCAGAAGCAGTTTTTCACCCCCCAAGAAGGAAAAGAAGAGTTTTTGAGTCGTACGATTCTCCCTTTCCTGTGGATATAGGTGGGAAGGATTTCAGGATATGCCAGGCTGAAATCATTAACAACCATGTGGTTGTGACGAACCCTGAAGATATTGAACAGCTCTATAACAAGGTGCTGCACCCTGTTTGCACAATGTTTTTAGTGTTTTAAACACAGGTAAAGCACAGTCCTGCCTAAAATCTGCTGCCTATGTGCTTTCCGCCTCCTCCAGCCTCCTGTGGTTCTCCATACGTCCCTCCTCTCCTGAAATCACTGCAAACATATATTCTGTGTCAAATGTGGAAAGTGTTTAGTTCTTATCCAAGCAAATTAATTTGGGAATGGAATGACATTGTGAGCTAACAAACAGCTGCAGAGACTTCATGTTTGTTATGTTTATGTCTCCTATCAACACTTCATTTTTTCAAAAGCATTTTCTTATTTTTAAAGCTCAGAGGGTTGGAATATTAGTGTTTTATAAATGCTTGTGTAATTCTTTTAACTTGAGAGTGTTTCATTGCTGTGTGAAATTAGCTATGTTTATCCTTTCATGTCAGGGTACCATTTCTCCACCATTCTGTTGCAGTAGTATCTCTTTGTTTTCCATTGTGCATTGTCACAGCATCAATACACAGGTGTTGTCCTCTGCATTTGTTGTCACATGTCTGTGGCCTGACAAATACTTAGGATTGAGGAAGAAGGCCCAAGCCCCTCCAGGCTGACTGGAAGGGCCAGCAGAGCTGCTTAAATCCCTGAGTGCAGGTGTTTAACATGGAACCAGTTAGCAGCAGCTAACACTGAGCTTTAGGCAAAGTTTCAATGCTGCAGAATTTCAATTGTTCATTTCATCTGATCTTGGCAGTCCATATTTTATAATTTGGAAAGGAGATAAGTTTTGTGCCATGAGATAATAAGGATTTGCCCTTTCCTTTGCAGGGCTATTTTGGGAAAGGAATCCTTTCAAGGAGTCGACCTGAGTTCAGCATTTCAGATCCTCTGCTGGTCGCTAAGTGGCAAGGTAAATGGGGCCCAGTTGAACTTCCATCACTGCTCTGAGAGTTCTTTCACTTTTCTTCACTCATTGAAAATACATGTTTATAAATTGCATGAAGAATAATAATCTCTCTCCTGGGTCAGATCGAGGATATCTGTCTCCCCATCTTTTGTGCCTAGGAAATGCCTAGGAAAAATCCAAGAACAGGAAACATGTTGGTAGTTCCTTACAGCATTCTGCCAGCCTTCACTGAGTTGTTGCTTAGGAAACCTCCAAGTAAAGGTATCATCCTTGGACTTTTCTTCATGTAAATCTCCAGTTTTCCTTGGGTTTAATCTGAAGATTTTAGTGTCCATGGAACCATGAGGGAAGGATATGTGAAGTTTTTGATGGCTTATAGCCAGTTGTATCCAGTAGGGCTGTCATTCTTTTCCATGACAATTAAGTATCTATGGACATCTTTGGATTTTACCATATCCCTCTGTAATTGTCTTTTGATGGGATGGAGATTTTTAAAAAAGTGTATTTAATTGATCTCTTGTGCAGGCTGGTACCTCTACCTTTTCTGGCTCTACTGTGTCCTTGAAAACAAGTGGGACCAAAAGGGCACTGAGGACAGGAAATGGGGATAATTACTAGGCTGCAGATCAGCTCAATTATCAAAACCAGATGAAAGCATTTTTCTGTTGATGAAACAATGTATGCTTTTGCTTTACACAGGTGTTAACACGAACATGCCTATAATTACCTCTAAAAAGTGAGTACATTTGTTTTAATTTGTTCTTGGTGTTCTTAGGAAATGGATTATTTTGGTTTATTGGGGGTTTTGTACTGGTTTGCAGGTTGTTGCCTGTATAAGTGATGAATTTTATTTCTTTCCATTTCATTTATAAATCACATTAGAAAAATTAGAAATAGAGGAGGTGATATTCAGTGTGAGTTTCCATGTAAGCTTGCAAGTATTATTTGCTGAATAGGAGACAAAACTGAGTGTGTGCATAGTGGTATGGGTAGTTAAATCATAATAATCTCAAGCGTAATAAACTTGTTTCGCATCTGAAGAGGAGTAAAAGAAGTTTCTGGGCCAGACTATTTAAATCAGCTTCCATTTCCTTATGGAATTATTGTAGTGTGAGCTGAAGCAGCTCTTTAACTTCTACAATACATTAATGTTTTACCTTTTTTAAAATATCAGTTAACATTGCTAGTTTGTACACTTTGCAAAACAGAGTGTTGGACCACAGATTTGTTTGGTTTCACTTAAGTAGTATATGAGCTGTTAAGAGTGTGCAAGTTAGTTACTCAGTTTTTCATCTTATGACACCTCTTAAAAATTTACTTACATTTAAAAGTTTTGCTCCTTCAGTCCTCAATGTGAGGTAAGAAAAACAGTAACAATATTACTACTCCTGCTCCTGCAGTTACTACTGCTTGCAGAAACACTTGGCCATTCTTACTAGTCTATTTTGTGCTAGCAAATAACAGCTGAGCATCAATGAAAAGGTAATTGTATTGGTGCTGAAAATACATCATGATCTGTCTCAGTAATCTGCAAGTGCAAATTACATGGTAATAAACCATAGGCCAAAGAGGAGTCTCCTTTATATAACACAGAGTACAGCACTGAATTGTGGAGCTTTATTATGAGACTTCAGAGGGACTTGTATTCGTCTTGACATGTGAAATTTGCATTTAATTGTCTTTGCAGTTCATTACCTGGTCTGTGATTGCTGTTTTAGTATTCTGTTCAAGGAGGTAAATAATACTGTACTAGAGCTGTGCAGGCTTGAGGAAGAACAGCTGCACCCAGCTCCCTGCAGCTTTCACAGAATGATCGTGTCTTCAGCTGGATATTAAAGTTGTTTTCCAAGAGGAAGAACTGAAGGGGCACTGCAAACTGTATCATAATTGAAAAGTGTTAGAAATAGTAACAGTTTTCAGCTAGTAGCTCACTGATAGGGCTGTTGTTATTTCTCCAGAATGTGAGAGGTTTGGGTAAAACTAAAAATAGTTTCTGCTTAAGATGTTTACACTGGTGTTTGTGCTATGTCCTGTTCTCAGTAGTTAGCTGTGTAACAGACAAAGTGTGTGAGAGCTCCATATACAAAGTCTTGTTGCATATTTTAATCCTGCAGGATGGTTTTTGTGGGGAACTCGGGCTTAAGGCTTCCATGGGAGAAGGGAGGTTTTGCCTGGTGAAGTTCTTGCTTCTTGAAGCTACATAGCACCTTGTGTGGTGCTCAGTGACTGTGTTTGTTGCCACAGAAGTTAGAGGCAAAACAAAGCCAGAGGAGGCAGCAGAATCTTGATTTTCAGTCATGTCATCTGCAGCTTCCTACAAACTGGAGCCCTGCTGCACTGTGCATGCTTGTGTTTGGCCCAGCAGTTATTGAGGGGTGTTCTTGTTTGTCAATTGTGCTGAAGCTTCTGGGGTTTAAGGACCTTGTTTAAAAGTGTTAATTCACAGATGTAATGGCCTAGAACTTCTCATTTG